TCAACAATTTCAATAAAATTCCAAGGTGGTAAATACGACTCAGGTAATCCCTAGGTTGGTGTCTGCAAGTAGGTATATCGAGCACTACCAAATCCCCACTTTATCGGTCTCTCACCAGAAGGACAGTGATACTTCCTCCGCGCGTGTTTTCGGTCTTTCACCATAGACACTTAGGCCAACTTAAACCAATATCAAACTACACCCCCTATCTGGATTTACCGACATATTTACCCAAAACAAATCGAAATGATCTTGTTTCACAAAAACAATTCCTTTCTCAAAACAATAGTTTTCAATTGTATTTTGAAATCCATGATAACGATGAAATGGAATGGCAACACAATATGTAACAATGCATTAGAATAGTTCCAATTTCAATTCCACCACACAATGCTCCATTGTGATTAATTTCCATATCTCTATCAATGTAATACCATGATACAATCCCAAGAGATAATATAATAACGTCAATGTTCATATATTTACCACATGTAAATTGACAACTTCTAACTTAGTCTTTTCAAGACCATTCAACATTATCCTTTATATAAAACAAACTTCCAAAATCAAACATTTTCTTACCTTTACAAGAATCTCCTCCTTTAAATACCAACATGGTAATCCTCTACCAATTACCAAAAACAAAAACTTCTATACACTAGGTTCATCAATAGCAATAACATATGACACCAAAGTGGGTTCAAGTTTTCGTCGATTTCTAACTCACATACTTTATCAATGAAATGTAATTACAATCTTTTCAAAACTCATCCCCATTCCAAACATTCCACGGACACATGTCCGAATCACTGTACAACAAGGGTAAACCCGGGATCGCTATATGGGGTCATCGAGTATTTCATCACTATAAAAAACCAGGTTTATTGGATTTCGATAGCTACTTTATCAGATCGCATTTGTATTAACGGTTAATATGATTTTAAAAATAAACTGTTGACACAAATGTGATCCGATACAGTGGTTATCGATATTTGATAAACTTGATTTTTTACAGAAATGAAGTACTGGACGAATCTTACACATTGAACGCTCGGATCATCGATTTAGGCTCCATAGTAGACCCACAAAGTACTAACAACACCCTTTAGTTGGGGAAACCAGCTGGAGAGAAACTATCCCATTCTAATTATGTACGAATTCAGTTATAAAAAACCAACAAGAGTGAAGTCTACTAGTGATAACATCAGTAAGATTTTAATTTGGAAAATATTTTTTTACCTTCTAAAAGTAGAAAATATTTTTCCTACCCAATAAGCTTGCTTTCCACAAATTATGAAAAAAAAAAGTTTGCTAATTTTTGTTTTTCATTGTACCAAATACTATAAAATATTAAAAATAAAAATTTTGCGAAAACAAACGTACTGTAAATCAAGAGCCAAACACCTACAATATTGAATCAATGATGGTACGTAGCAATTATAAATTTTTTTTGATAAATTACAAATACATCTCTTCAAATTTTCTTAATATACAGATTATTTTTTATGGTTCTGCAAATTATATTTCATGATTTTGAGTTTCTAATCACATAACAATTGAACTTTTTTTGTTAATAAATCATCAAGTAATTATTATTTTTTTAACAATGTCAGAAATATATTTCAATTAACAATTTATGTAAAGTTCTATAGAACGACAATTAAACCAGTGATATTGTATGGAACGGAATGTTGGGCAATTAAGAAACAACATATTGATATGATGAGTGTTACTGAGATGCAAATGCTAAGGTAGATGTGTGGCAAGACTAAAAAAAACACAGTTAGGAATGAGTATATTCGTGAATGGGTAGGAGTAGCACCGATTGAAGATAAGTTGAGAGAGAATAGATTGAGATGGTTTGGTCATATATAATGGAGACCAACAGAGGTAGTAATGAAGATATACAATACAGTGCTCGTAGAGGTAAATGTTAGGAGAAGGGACAAACCTAGATTGACGTGGCTAATGTAGTAAATAGAGATATGTATCTCTTTAATTTGACTAACCAAATGGCATTTGATAGAGTCGAATGGAAAAGAAAGATTAATGTAGTCGACCTCATTTGATGGGACTTATGATGTAGGTTGATTTGGTTTGATTTATAGGAGAGTAGTTAGAACTTTTTTTTCCCTGTTAATTTTGTTAAATAAAAAATTATGATAATGAGATATTTTTAATTTCTAGGATTACAAAAAAATTCATATTTTAAGTAAAATTCAAGAGGTATATTTGTAATTTTTTAAAAGAGAGGGATGCACTGGTCTTCCATGGTCCACCACCATAACCATTTATTTCAATCATATTCCCTCTTGCAACCTTCACCCCAAGTCTTTCAGTGTCTGTCTCAACAAAATTTATTTATTTATTTTTAATGGTTCACACTTTAAAGAGCTAGGAAATTCAAATTAGAATATTATATATATACCAGCCACCCTAATAAAATAATCGATTCATCATTACAAAAAACCATGACAAAATTGGTTATTGTGCTCTACACTACCCTTGTGTTGTGGTGCTACTTGTTGTTCAACATCCCTGCAGCAAAATGCATCATGGCAAATAATGAGACAAATAGAGCAGCATTGGAGGCCTTCAACGCTGCAATTGTTCAAGACCCATTTGGTGCCCTCTCTTCCTGGAATCATTCACTCCATTACTGTCTCTGGAACAACATTTTGTGTAGTCGCCGACATCCTGATAGGGTCATTGGGATAACTCTAATGTCCCATGGCCTGATTGGATCACTCGCACCTCATGTAGGAAACCTTTCATTTCTCAAAAGAATCATTCTTCCAAACAATAGCTTCCACGGGTCAATCCCACAGGAGATGGGTCACTTGTCTCGACTTCAACTAATAGAATTCAACAACAATTTGTTTGGAGGTGGAATACCAAACAACCTTTCTTGTTGTTCAAAACTTGAATGGCTGGACTTTATCAACAACAATCTAACCGGAAACATCCCAGCTGAGTTGGGCTCTTTGCCAAGGCTTCAAACTTTGGGCTTGAGTAAAAACAAGCTTTCAGGTACCATCCTTCCTTTCATTGGAAACCTCTCATCTCTTTTCCAAATCTATTTATTGGAATGTAATTTGCATGGGGAGATTCCTGCGGAAATTGCTAGGCTTCGAGGCCTGGCATATGTCGACTTATCTGCGAATAACCTATCTGGCAAGGTTCCTTCTGGCCTTTACAATGTCTCCACCATCATTTTGTTATCAGTAGCTGTTAACCAACTTGAAGGAAACATTCCTCCTGATATAGGCTCCACACTACCTAATCTCAAGTTACTTTTTCTTTTCGGCAATTTATTTACTGGAACAATTCCTACTTCACTGTCAAATGCTTCAGAGCTTGAATCGATACAATTAGGTGAAAATGATTTCAGCGGGACAATGCTGAGAGATCTTGGAAAACTTCTGAGTCTTCGGCAGATAAGTGTTCCTCAAAATCGATTGCAGGATGACCTCACTTTTATTTCGTTTCTAACAAATTGCACCAGTTTACAACATATTGATGCGGGTAACAATTCTTTTAGAGGTTCATTGCCGGACTCCATAGCAAATCTCTCCACATATCTTAGTACTATAAATTTGCATATTAATCAAATACAGGGAAACATTCCTTCAGGCATCGGAAACCTCCTCAACCTCACTATCTTAGCTATGGCAACAAATAATCTTGCTGGCCCTATTCCATCCTCCATTGGCAGACTTCAAAAGCTGCATGGTCTGTACTTAGGCCAGAAAAAATTCACAGAACTTCCATCTTCGCTTGGTAATTTGACTTCCTTGATTACTCTCTACTTGTATGAAAACAACATGCACAAAAGCATACCTTCGAGTTTGGGCAATTGTCATAGCTTGTTGGAATTAGCCCTTTATAAAAATAATCTCAATGGTTCAATAACCCCTGAAATTATGAGTCTCTCCTCCATTTCAACAATCCTCTGGTTAGATCACAATACACTAACCGGTTCTCTTCCATCAGAAGTTGGGTCTTTGAAAAACCTTGGATACATGGATGTATCCTATAATAAATTATCAGGACCCATTCCGAACACTCTAAGCAACTGTTTGAGTCTAGAATGGCTTCACTTGGAGGCCAATTCATTTGAAGGAGAGATACCTCAAAGTTTGAGAATTTTGAGGGGCTTAAGAGAGTTGGATCTTTTGCACAACAATTTGTCAGGGAAGATCCCAAATTATCTAGGCGAGCTTCAACTAGATATGTTGAATTTATCTTTTAATAGGCTACATGGAGAAGTTCCAATACAAGGAGTGTTTCAAAATGGGAGTGCAATTTCAATTGTTGGAAATAATGAGCTATGTGGAGGTATTGCAAAATTAGACCTTCCTCCTTGTCCATCCTCCAAATTAAGCAACAACAAGCTATCTCACAGGATGAAAGTGATCCTACTAGTGATTGGTCTTGTGATATTTTTATCTTTGTTTGTTAGCTTCTTTATATTTCTTCAACGGCGTCATGTTTCAAAAAAGAAGACCTCTAGCACGCCATCAATCAAACATCAATTTTTGAGGGCTTCTTATGCAGAGTTTCTCAAGGCCACCAATGGATTCTCAGAGGCTAATCTAATTGGTGTTGGGAGCTATGCTTCAGTTTACAAAAGGATTCTTGATCATGTTCAAATGGTTGTGGCAGTGAAAGTGCTCAATCTTCAGACCAGAGGAGCTTTCAAGAGCTTCATGTCAGAATGTAAGGCACTAAGAGCGATAAAGCACCGAAATCTATTGAAAATTTTGAGTGTTTGTTCCAATGTGGATTTCCATGGTAATGAATTCAAAGCTTTGGTATATGAATTTATGGCCAATGGAAACTTGGGCAATTGGTTGCATCAAGTCGGAGTTGGAGACCATGAACAGCTAGAAAAACCTAGGAATCTTAAACTAATCCAGAAGCTGGACATTTCCACTGATACTGCCTCTGCACTTGAGTATCTTCATTGTGGTTGTGAGTCAACAATTATTCATGGTGATCTAAAGCCAAGTAATGTTCTTTTGGATGATGAGATGATGGCCCATATTGGAGATTTTGGGTCGGCAAAAGTTATTTCTACTGTTTCAAGTGATGTGGCACAAGGTCAAAGCAATTCAGTTGCAATAAGGGGAACCATAGGCTATGTTGCTCCAGGTAGAAAATCTTTTCAATTTCCTTAAGAGTAGAAAAACTGAACTTGTAATAGGAAAAATATAATATATATATATATATGCACACATGAATACATTTCGGCATAAACATACAAACCATGTCTTCTACAAAATAGTGGGCACCTACATAGTTTTATTCATTATTTTTATGCATATTCCATGCCATTTATGAATGCTCCCAATGTGTGCTTCCACCTCCTCACTGTTAACAAACCAAGTACTAAGTTTACTTTGTTTAATGTTGTGCTTGATCTTAGTATAAGTATTACCATTGAAGTGTACATCATTTAATGTGGCCATGCTTAACTTCGCTATGGAAAACTGGTGTTAATCCTCTGTGCTTCCCATGTTTTTTTTTTTTTTGTTTTTTGTTTTTTTAAATATTTTTTTATGTAATTTTAGTATGAAATTTTAGTCTGATCAAAATAGTCTATTGTATCTACTAGTGGAAAGAATTAATATACTAGTTTTCTACCAAAGCATTTTCTAAAAACTTACTCATTGCTTGGAAACTTGTATAGTCGATTCTGACGGTGTATCTCATGCAAGACTAATTTTTATTTCCTTCAATAGAAAAATAAAATCAAACTATGTCATTCTCAACAATTGACTCACTTAGTAAGTTGCAAACACAAACAAAAAAATATTGTAACTGAAGGGGATAGAATTAAGGACATTAGAGCATTAAAAAGTTTGTTGAGTTTCATTAAAAAAATTATTAAATACATCTATTGAGATAACAACTATGCCAACTAACTTGACTCATTTTTCACACTAACATTGGAAACAATTTGCAGAGTATGGCATGGGGGACATGGCTTCCACACCAGGGGATGTATACAGCTTTGGAGTTCTTTTACTAGAGATGTTTATAGGTAAGAAACCAACTGACAACTAACAATTGATACTTACCCAAAAAAAAAGAAACCAACTGACGATATGTTAAAGGATCATCTAAATCTTCATAACTTCGTTAAGAATGCATTGCCTAATCGAGTGATGGAGATTGTGGATCCTTGCATCCTATTGGGGCATGACACAAGAAGGTGGATTAAAGACTGCATGGTTTCGATTCTACGAATTGGGGTTGCATGTTCAATGGAATCGCCAAGAGATCGAATGGAAATGAGGAGCGTTATTAGTGAATTGCATAAGGTGAAAAATACTTACATGAATGAAGGGTTGAACCAAGACCAGGAAGTTGGAAGAGGTTTTACAACATGAAAACTGAGGTGTGTATCATACCCTCTTGACCTATGCATATGCATACTGATATAGAAAATGTTATACTCAAAACAATTTTTTTTTATTCGAATTTCTTAGCACTATACTCATAGACGTGAATTCTGTCTATATTTATTAATATGGCCCTTACTAAATTTGTGACTAGTGGTAAGAAAATCTGATGAGAAATTCTTGTATGTATAACATTACTCTACCAAAATACATCTTTCTCTCTATTGAAGCATCTCAATTTCATTTTCTCATTTTCTTTTTCTTTTTTTATTCTAATAAAGCATGTTTATTTTATTGTTGATCAAGGTTACTTCCAGGGTCCTCCATAAATGGTTACCTCAACAATATGCTACATCAACAACCAGTAGAATACAAGTGGTAGCTTTATGTTATTGTTGCCTCAGCAATCTTTAATCTATTGCTTGATAAGTAACTGTCACTTTCCTCCTTTGGTTAGATTGTATTATATCAAACATATGCTTATGTGGGATGTTATGTTTCTAGCTAAGATTGTGTGCTTGGGATTACCAATATTTATTCCTGTTAAATTAAAACTATCATTTCGTTGTATCGTGACTTTTCCTTGAAATTGCATGTTTGTGTATCAAAAATTATTTATTTTGTAGCTTTGCTTGACATTATTATAATTTTGCCTTTTAGTCATGGTAACTCTGTGTAATACAGACTCCTACACTACTAGCATTGGCACTAGGTGTCCCACTAGGACATATATATATATATATATATGTGGCAATTGAACTATCATGTTATATAAGCTCTATATTGCATTGGAAACAAAGGAAAATATGTAAAAACAAAATCTTGATATGGGTGTTTTTGGAGATCTCAATTGAGCCAAATATGCCTTGTCATATGCTGCAAAGATCAAAATTAAAAATACACATGTTATAAGAGACACATTACATAAAGAAATAAAAGATTACTGACTTGAGGGGCTTCCTTGAAATTGCATGTTCGTGTATCAAAAATTATTTATTTTGTAGCTTTGTTTGACATTATTATAATTTTGCCTTTTAGTCATGGTAACTCTGTGTAATATAGAATCCTACACTACTAGCATTGGCACTAGGTGTCCTACTAGGACATATATATATATATATATATATATGTGGCAATTGAACTATCATGTTATATAAGCTCTATATTGCATTGGAAACAAAGGAAAACATGTAAAAACAAAATCTTGATATGGGTGTTTTTGGAGATCTCAATTGAGCCAAATATGCCTTGTCATATGCTGCAAAGATCAAAATTAAAAATACACATGTTATAAGAGACACATTACATAAAGAAATAAAAGATTACTGACTTGAGGGGCTTAATTCCACCAGACAACTCCGTCTGACTCTAGTAACAAACAGACATAGTTTTAGAAGGTATATATGCATACCTTTGTGGCTCAGCGTAAAAAGCGTCTAAGATACCGAAGTGATCGGGTCCAACATCCTGCCACTTGTTAATAGGTTTAGGAAAGTTGTCTTTACAACGCTGATGTTTCCTTCAACACCAAAAATGAGACTTTTCTTAGCCGTTGGCTGCACATCAGAACTGGAATTGTCCTTTTAACTCTTCATCCACAATCTCTTTGACAAAAGTAGCAATACTCTCTCAGCATGGTTTCTGTGAATAATTCCCACTGAACTCTGCAAGAACTCTGCCATCTTCTGACTGTAATTCCCAAAAAATTGCAAGACATCTGTTAATGTACACTAAACCTAACCCACTAACCTAACCCACTACATCCACCCCACTAAACCTAACACACTTACCATCTCCACTACCACCCACCACCTCCACTACCATCCACTACCACCACTCACTTACCTCACACCTCTCCTATATAATAGCTTGTAACATACAATACAGAAACACATCAATCTTGTATCATCAACAAATCAATCAATAATATACTTCATTTTATTTTACAACATCAATGAAAATCCTTCTCAATATGAAATGTTTGAGGTTCATAGTTCGTATATTATAAAGTTTCATTCAATTCATATTGAAAAATGAAGTTGTTCTGAGTTTTGAAGTACATTACTATTCAAAATTTAGTGACTATAGCAATGACCATGCTCGAGGCCCAATTACAAAGTTCAGGCAAATCAACTGAATTCACTTCAACTTTCCTCATCCTCAATACAAGACAATAAATTAACAATATATTTTTATACAGAACACAACAAAAGTATAGATTCCAAGCACTATAAATCTACCACAATCAGTTGTCTCAAATTTATTATTATTATTTTTAATTTCAATTCACATAGTCCAATTAGAAATGTCCATCCAAATTTGTCTATAGTATAGGGGGATAAGAGACAGTTTCTTTAAGTGGGTGGGAAGGTGGTTGTAGGCACTAACAGAGTGAGCACAAAGGGGAATACTACATTTGTGTTTAGCTTGGTTTTGGGAGATAAATTTTCAAAAAAAAATTTGGGGAAAGACTTTATAAATTTCTTTGGTTTGTTTGGTTGAATATTTTGGAAATAGTTTTGGAGTATGGGAGTTTAGGATGATTTGATATTTTATTGTAGATGAGTTTGATATTTTATTGTAGATGAGTAGATATGTGGGAGAGAAAAAGTAATTGATTGATGTGTAGGAAATAGTGATTTTGGAAAAAAAAATTCCAAAATCACTAAACCAAACAAAATTTTAGAAAAACAATTTCCAAAATTTATTTCTCAAAGACAAACCAAACAAGGCCTTTTATCTCTGTAGATTCTTTTGAGCTGTGCAACACCCTTCCTCTCCACCAGCTTAAACCCTAGAGAGAGAGAAAGGAAAAAAACTACTATTGTCAGCGGCGGCGAAGGATAGAGAGCGAGAGTGGGGATATCAACAGCAATGCAGCCAATGGATCCCATTTTCCCTAGTATGGGATGACAAGGGTCAAATTAATCCCAAATTCAAATAATAATTAGAAAGACATGAGTTTGATTAATTAATTTACTCAGAATTTCCATCGAGGAAGTTCTGAAAAATTGCAAAAGACACTTTTGGGGGTTGGATTGGGAGAGGAAAAAAATAAAATGGAAAATTACAATGACCTCCCCCAATAAACGTACACACCATAGATAGCCCTAAGTTGTTGAAATATTACAATTATACCAATCTCTGTATATGTTTTTATACACTAAAGTTGGATATTTATTCAATAGTCTCGGAACGCCACTCACCATATGTCATTACTTATGGTCTTCAAACCAATTACTTAATTCAAATTTTACACATAACAACTATTTTTGTTAAGTAGTTAAGAGACAATGAATTACTCACTTAGTATGGATTCCAATTTCTTATTTGTTGAGAGTAGCACGTAAGCTACATCATATGATATTTTTGGACCATTCAATAGTTTTCTTTTGTAATCATGGTTCTAGATTGTGATATCAGAATACGTAATCAATTGTGAAATATCAATTTTGGGAGTATTAGTCGATATGTATCAAAATTGAGTGTCATGATCATGAAATTTTAAAAATCATTAACGGGATGCAGATGGATGTAACAATTCACCATAAGGTCACTTTCTGATACATAACGGAAACAAGCCAACACACTCACCAAATCTAATCTCACCACAAGATCGGGTTGTATATGACTCGAATGCATCAAAAGTCATTACGAACCCACCGTTACATAACATCTAATTTTTAAAACAATACTTGTTGTAGCTAGCCTACCATTAGTAAATAAGATGAAATGTGAAATCATATTTGAATTAAAATATCAAAATTACCCTTCTTATTTTTAAACTAATCCTTTATATGAAGTGATCAAAAACACCATTTTTTTTTTGGAGGGGGGGGGGGGGAAATATGGATTTTACCAAATTTGAATATCTCAACTTCATAAGTGAAATTGGCGTATTGTGAAACTAGCTTGTACCAAAGTCAATGATCTAAATCGTTTATCTAATTTGATAAGTATGTATGCAAAAAATGAATTAATCAAACATAAATAATCACATTATCAAATTACATATATTATAATAAATGGATAGTTTATTCTTAAAAAACATATAGACTATATAAATAAAAATGATCTAATAATATGACAATCAATATTGATCTACTTAATTTTTTACATAAATAATTTTTTTAGTTAGTTTATAAAATAAAAAGTTTAGATCACCAAAATAAGTCCAAGTTAATCCGCTAATAAATCAAAAAATTGAGATTTTCATCCTTAATAAATCCCAACTCTTTCTTTTACCACAAACAATAATGAGACCAAAATAAATAAATAAAATACCAGGCCTTGTTTGGAAAGTTTGGTTTAGGTTAAAATAGCTAATAAAGATAAAATAGGCTTAAATGGACAGTAAGGCAAAATATCACATCCAAACTATAATCATTTTACTTTTTCTCTTACAATTATCAAATCAACTATAAAAAAAATAATAATAATGATAAAAAAAACAATTGATATCACAAACATAATTTTTTAATCAGGTTAAAATAGTCAAAAAGTATTAAAAAAAAATCAACTAAAATAACATGTTCCCAAGCTGGATTAAAGTCGATGGAGCCGCAATTTAGGGGTGTAAATTTGGCCCAGCTCGGCCCATCCCATGTTGGGCTTTGCGGGCTCCCGCTAAAATTTGGGCCTGCGCTTGGGCCTGAACAATTTTTTTTTTTTTTTTACCAAAATTTTATTATTTTTCACTAAAAAAAACACTGGGCCTCGGGTGGGCTGGGACTCGGACCGGGCCTTGAGTGGGCCGATGGGTCCAACCACGGGTTGGGCTTCAAAATGATGGCCCAGGCCCAGGGTCTTTGGCTGGGCTCAAGCGCGGGCCTAAACAAGCCGAACCCACCTCAGACCACGGCCGAGCTTCGGGTCGCCCACGGGCCGCGTGCCATTTTTACACTCCTAGGATTGATCTCTCATCCTATCGTAGCTTTCATTTCGACTAAAACCTTATTGTTCTGTCACAGAGGCCCTCCAAAACTCCACTCTTTTCGGCAATTCTTATCTCACATCTTCGAGATTGTTTGGCCTTGTTTCTATCAACAACCTAACTTTGGGAAGTCCAGGTGGGAACGAAAAAGTTTGTCACAGTCAAATTTAATTTTAATTTGAACAACTTAAATCTTATATTTTTATTTTTACTACAACGTTGAAACACAAATAATGGTTGTAACTTATTAGATGTTCGTTATGATTAGAAATCAAGTTCAAAGGATTAGAAATCAAGTTATAAAATTATGGTATATGCGGTTGAATAAGTTAATCTGTGATTTTTTTAGGTAAATTACATTTTGCACCCTTGCACTTTGCATCAAATCTCACTTTGGCCCCTATATGTGAAATTGTGATAGTCAACCCCATACACTTTGATTCAAATCCTACTTTGGTCTCTAAACAAGTGTCAATGTCCCTCTTTTGTTACTTTATTTTTAAATCTTTAACAAAATCCAATCATGTGACAAAAATGTGACTACGAAATAAGGGTAAAAAAGGAAAATCATCCATATTTCCTGAAAGATAAACTCAACAATGGTAATGATCAAGAAGCCCGTGAGGGTGTTTATCAC